CGGCGCCACTGCCAGTTCGCCGCGACATCGGTGCTGAGAATACGATCCCAGGTCTCCTTGAGGGTGGTGTACTCGTCGCGGACGAAGCCCCAGAACTGGGAACCGGTGCTCTTCAGCACGGTCAGTCCGTTGATGGCGGAGTTGATGTCGATGCCCTTGCCCTCGATAACGTCGACTTGCACGTCGCGCGTCTCGGTGCCAGGCTTGATGAACGAGTGCGGGTGCGGCTTGCCGTCGATGTCCATGCGCACCCAGCGGTGGGTCACGATATTGACATGCGCTGCGTGGATGTGGCTGTACTTCTCAATAAAGTGTGTGCCCAGGATTGAGCCGAACAGCTCCGGTGGGGTTACGGGGTTCTGCTTGGCTGTAATGAAGACGGTGTTCTTAATCGAGTCGGTTGCGACAACGACGCTGTTGTCGGCTTTGGTGTAACTGTGGGGACCTTGGGTTAGCTCCAACTTTTTTTTTTGGAGATGAGAGATGTCGCTCGACTTACGAGGTCTCAATATCGCCCTCCAACAGGACACACACGGTCATCTCCACGACAGTCTGGATACCAGTCTTCTCATCGCGGTGCACCTTGCACACGCGGACATTGTCCTTGCCGTAGCGGGCAGCTGCCAATGCGCTCATCTTGAATTGTGAGGGATAACTTTGGGATATAGAAGACAAGGATAGTAGAGGATACTGAAAGGTAAAAAAATTGTATTATCCAGCAGATCTGATGAGTATTTATTTATCTGGAACCTTGGAATGCACCGAATTGGCTGATCAAGAGAGCTTCGGGCACCTCCGATGGCCGCGATGACCGCGAGTGGCCGCCCCCCCAAATCCCGATCTTATCAGTTGGCGATTAGACGACTCCCCTCTCTATGGCCTGATGTTCCCATAGCATTGGCATCCCCGACCACCTATCACAATCATACAGGGGTAGAGAGAAGGAAACAAAAGGTTCCTTTCCCCCAGCTTTTCGGGCCACTAGCCGAGTGCAATACAGTGGAGATCTCACATTCCTCGAATCCCGAAATCCCGACCTCCGACTTTGCAAACATCAACTGCAAACCCCTAAATTATTATATCCAAATCCCTTACGCTTTGTGCTACGATGACCATCGCGGAGATCTCCACTGCGAACTCCCGGCGAGGTGCGAGCCGTGAAAGACCTGGAACTTCTGGCGGTAGACACTTAGCGCTGACATGATATGCTCTCTGCTGACAACTGCTACAACAAGACATGCGCAGTGACCTCGCCGCTGGTGGTACAGTGCGGGGGGGAAGACGTCACAGTCTGTACGTTGACTCTCCTCTGATGATGAGATATCATGGTTTTCTGTTCTCCCTTGTTCATTTGTGTACTTTCCACAGAGTACACGAAAGGTATATCAGGTGAAGGCTGTCCTACTTCGATCGTCCACGGTAGATTGTATCTATATCCTCCATGGTGTATACCAGGTTGCTCATGCAAATCGGGTTTCTATGAGGCCTACGAAACGCAGCGTATCCCCAAACAACCTACGCCAGAACACGAATACCGTCAGGACACTTATTTCTGTTTAACAAAAGGAATTACCGCTGGTGATTTCGCTGAGGCTCGGTAATGAAAGAGCCTCAATACCAACAGAGCACAGGAGAGTACCTACTTACCGCATAGGGAAAATGCGTGGCCTACCTATCCTGTCACAGCATGTGCAAACATCCAACACACTGACCAATCTAGCGGCCAACAACGATTGTCATGGTGGAGTTGATTCGCCTCTTTCTGGGTGACAATATTACCCGAGACCATCCTGCTCAGCCACGCTGCCGACCACGCTCCTCCGGCGACCAAAGCAACGTTCCATATTTAAGCAGGGAATAACCAAGATATTTAGCTATGTGGCAGAGTCTCTCATACATACCTAATGCTAAATAACCATTCAAACTCCAGTGGGAACAAACCCCACGACCCATGCACCACATCGACTGTATGTAAGATGTATGTCAGATCCAGATAGCAGATGCGACTCTTCCTTGGCCAAATAAATAATTCACGAAGTGCACCATTGAAACTAATGCCAAGCACGCCTGATCTCCGGCTTAGATTGCAATCGTCGAATCGGAGGGTGTGGTTGGTGCCAATGCGCAGAATCTGGGCAGTGGTGGTATCGTCTGCAACGTCGATCTGACGAAGCTTGCATGCAGTGCTCTCTTCCAAGCCCTACCAATCAACATATATCCCGCGATTGGGTGAAGTTCGATGAGTAAAAAGCGGGCGAGGTCTGTCCGATTCTCGGCCAAAGCTGGGCTGACGGTTTTCTTGGTTCTTCTTTGTTCAACAAAGAGTCGCCGTTTGCCTATTATGTCTGGAACTCGACTAGGTTTTAGTTTTTTCTCAGCTTTGACTGCATTTCCAATTAGTCGGACCTCATATTAGTCGGAACTTTTCTTAGTGATTCGGATTAGCGAGGAACTTCTTTGTTTCCATCCCGCAGACAACCGCTCGTCGATCTCGATAATTATGGCTATAGGCGAGATATCAAATCTTAAGAGAGAGCCAGGGGGTAAACGTGCTCCCTGGCTGTTGAAGTTTCGTTCCTCAGCGGGTTTTATCGTCGGTGCAGTCTGGATGTCCACCTTCACGGTATGTGAGAGGCTAGTCGCCTAGTCTTATAAGTCGCAACTGACAAGACTCAATTGGAATAAGGAATTCCTCCTATATGCCATGGTAAGCAAATGCCCACTTCTATATCGTGAATTGGACGCAGAATAAACGAATGGCAGATAGTCCCCGTGATGCCAACAGCCCTCGTAACCCGAGCCGGAATCGAATTTGAGCACCGTATGTTCTGTTCCTGTCCTCCTAACAGATTTCCCTCACAATTATCCCATACTCACCTTCAAACAGGAGGATACTGGGTCAGTGTCCTTCTCATGTCCGAAGCAGGCACATCTCTATTGATGTGTCCCATATTCGGCTACCTGGTCGACCGCGGACGCACACGTCGACTACCCTTCATCAGTGCCCTGGTCGTTTTAACCGGCTGCATGCTGATATTGCAGCTGGCGCGTTCCATCGCTGCATTTGTCGTGGCTCGTCTACTCCAAGGCATCGCAGGCGCTTTAGTAGTGGTAGCGGCATTCGCTCTCATCGGCGACGCTGTGCCCCAGGAGCATCTCGGTCAGACGATAGGGTATCTTGGTTCCGCGATCGCCTCTGGCTTCCTGCTGGGTCCGTTCCTCGGAGGCGTTGTGTACAATTCTGGTGGGTACAACGCCGTGTTCTGGTTTGCGTATCCTGTTCTTGCACTTGACATGGTCATGCGGTTGGTTTTGATCGAGAAGAAGGTCGCTGTTCAATGGACAGGACGATCTAATGGAGACTTGGAGTCGGATCTGGAGACGACGCAGCATATTCCCTCTGTCGGTTCGCACGAACCACAGGTCATCCAGAGAAGGAAGGGGTTCGTTATCTTCCGGATGCTCAAGCAGCGCCGAGTGTTGATATCTTCATGGGCGCTTCTCACCCAGGGACTTTTGCTTTCTGCTTTTGATGCGGTATGTATCAGGCTCGATATTTTTGGCATGAAGAACTCGCTAATCACACCAAGACCCTCCCCATCTTCGTGGAAACGACATTCAGCTGGAACGCCCTCGGCATGGGACTGATCTTCCTCCCAATGGCCGTACCGGCCTTCTTCGAGCCGCTGTTCGGCAGTTTCACCGATAGGTTCGGTGCCCGCTTCGTAGCCTTCGGGTGTTTCGTTTCTCTCTCGCCCAGCCTCATCTGTCTCCGGTTCGTCCAGACCAAGTCGAACGAACATATAGCTCTGTTAGTATCATTGCTCTTCCTTATCGGAATTTTCACCCACGCCTGTGCGCCAGCCATGTACGTTGAAACGCAGCGCGCGCTCATGGCGATGGAACTCAGGGACCCGGGAATACTCGGACCCAAGGGTGCCGTGGCGCAGGGATTCGGACTGCAGAGCATGTGCCAATTTGCGGGAGTGTTCTTTGGACCACTGTGGGGTGGGTTTGTCGAATATCGATTTGGGTGGGGCGCGATGACGGGCACTTTGGGGGTCCTGGTAGCGCTCACTGCACTTCCAATGTTGTGGTTGGGAGAAAATGAGGAGGAAAGGGCTTTAATGAGTTGAATGAGGGTTACGCAGTTAGGCAGCACTGTTTTTTTTTAAAGGAAGTATCAGTTCTGCCTACTGCCATACATCATAAATCATAAATCATGTAGGTAGCTTCAGAACTTTAGGTTGCACCTGGATTACGTATATTGGCGGCTTTTATAAGACGCTGTTATATGTGATATACTTGTATATCTGAAAAACGTTTGGCATCCCTTGTATTTCACCTTCCATTATATATTCAATAGATGAACATAGGGAACTACATCATTGATTGGTATCGTAGGTATCTCTTATCAAGATATTCTTTAGATAGAAGTTGAGAGATGAGTATGTAGGTGAGGCATTTGATTCTATATTCTATACAAGGCTTATAGAACAGGTTCCCGGGGAAACCAGACATCAATGAATTTATGAATCTATACAGTGTTACTTAGATCCAGGAACAGTCGATAAATCGCAATTTCTCTAAAGCCACCCGTTCGAAAAGGGTTAGCTCCAATTCAAGAGCCCCACTATGATGTTAAGCTTATCGCTTGAACTATCCCAATGTGGCAGTTCAATGGTTCTCGTCCTTTTAACTTGTTTAGGCTCATCTTTGACATTCGTCTCCTCATCTCCCCATCTCCTCATATTGACCACATCGGGATCTTTCCCTCAACATAAATACCCTCCAAGTCACCCTGCGTATTCTCATGCTTCTTCAGTCTATCCAACGTCCCAGACAAGCATCTCTCACTGTCAGTATATCAGTCTATCCACCCCACCACATCCTATACAACACATGTAATCTAACCCATCCAGATCTCCATAGCTCGAACTCAGATTCCAGCCATCTACCGATCTAATCCCCTGTTCCAACAAACCTACCCAACAACAACCATGCCACCCACCAACAAAACCTGGCACATCCAGCACCACGCCCTCGCACACCAACCAGACAAAACAAAGCAATTCATCTGCCCAGCAGAAACAAGCCCCCACCGCGCAACCCTACTAAGCTTCCCCTCGCGCCGCTCAACCCTCCCAGAACTCAACGCCGCAACCCGCAACGAGATAATATCCCTCGCGACAGCAATCGCCGCCTTCGAGCCCGTCCGCCTCCATGCCCGAGCAGAAGACATCTCACAAGCGCAAGCCCTCCTCGACAAACAAACCACGCTATCACCCCAGCAGCGCGCAAACATAACCCTCATTTCCGCACCAACAAACCACTGCTGGATCCGCGACACAGGCCCCGTCTACATCCGCAGCGCGGACGAAGCAGACAAAACCCGCTACGCAATTGACTTCCGCTTCTGTGAATGGGGCCACAAAACAACAGAACGCATCTACGGCGCCGGCGTCTCGCCCGCAGCAGCCAAAGCCCTGGAAAAGTCCCCACAGTACGTGGAGTGGCCGGTAATGGACGACGAAGCCATGCGCGAGAACACGGCTTTCGCGGGCGTCGTGCTGGATCTCGAGAATGAGAAGACGGAGGCTGTGGCGGATGTTGTTGTGCGCGTGGAGACGGATATCAGGGTTGAGGGCGGGGGGATTGAAGTCGATGGGGAGGGGACCTTTATGGCGACGGAGAGTAGTATTATTGGGGATGCGCGGAATGCGGGGCTCGGGAAGGCGGAGATCGAGGCTGAGCTTAGCAGATTGCTGGGTGTTAGTACTTTTATCTGGTTTCCTGGTCGGGTTGGGCTTGATGTTACCGATGTGCATATTGATGCTGAGGTGAGGTTCGTCAGGCCCGGTGTTGTTGTTGTTTGCCGTCCGCACGAGAAAGCGGAGAAGGTGCATTGGGAGATCTACTCGGAGATTCGGGAGGTCTTGGAGAGGTCTACTGATGCGCGTGGACGGCGCTTTGAGATTCATGATGTTGTTGAGCCGGATCCGGCCTGCGTTAAGGGGGGATCTCCACGGGGAGGAGGATGCGCCAGCGGCTTCGTATGTTAACTTCTATTTCGTTAACGGGGGCCTGGTTATGCCAGCGTTTGGCGATGCTGAGGCTGATGCGAAGGCCTTTGAGTTGTTCAAGAGCCTGGTTCCTGACAGGGAGGTCCGTCAGGTTGAGGTTAATGCCTTGCCCAGGACTGGGGGTGTGCTGCATTGCGTTACACAGCAGGTGGTGTGAGGGGACTAGCTAGCTGCCCAGGTAGACATACAGAATCTCATCTTTTACTTGACAGGGATCAATACCTTATTTTTGTGCATATGCATGTAGCCTATAGGAAACGGTCGAGCCAAGCAGGAATATTCGAACATGTGATATTGACTGTTGGAGAGTGATGTTGATATCGAAAAAACCATGTTTTGACAATCAACCTGCAAGTGTCGAAGATAGAACAAAAAGAGACAGAGGAGAGAAGTCAGAACGAGAGACTAAATAAACCCCCATTCCCGCACGGATCGTAACCCATATAAAATAGTGTAAGATGTATGTCTTTTTTGGGCTTCTTTTGTACCAGCAAAATCACCAGCAAGAAACGAAGATCCCCAGTTGGAATCTGCTGCCATCCGGAATCCAGACTCCAGACCTAGACAGATATCAGAGGACCCAGAGAAGAAACGAAAAAAAAAAGGGAAAGAAAAAGAACACCATCCCAGGACGCCCAGTAATGCCGCGCCACATAGCAGACCGATAGAACGCAGGCGGGAAAGGGCAAAAAGAGAAACACACATAAACTTCGTAATTGATCAGGGTCAGAAATCCATCTGATTGAACATCCAGCTGAAGTCCCAGGATGATAGCCATGGGCATCCGAGTCAGTGTCCGAGCCAGAGCCAGAATCAAGCCAGAGCAGAACCGACACCAGACCGAAAACCAAACCCCCATAAAACACACCCGAGACCCCATTCCCCCCACATCTTATACCTCAAAGACTCAACTGATCAATACTCCCCACCCGCCCACTCCCGCCAAGCCGCCCCCCCACCTTTCGTAACCATCCCGAGGCGATAAAAGCGCTCTTCGCCAGCCGGTGTTCTCCCACCAATATACCACTTCTCCGGACCGATGGCATCGCGGAACCCGCCCGAGCCGCTGGAAGAGTCACTCCCGCGACGCTGGCGGTCTGGAGTGTCACGGTTGATCGGGATAGGTGTTGATGACGGTGGTGTAGAGGGGAGGGATGTCTGGTCGTGGTGGTAGTGATGTGAAGGGGCTGGGCTTGGGCCTTGGACTGGACCGGCTGGTGTTGTAGTTGCTGAGGAAGAAGAAGAGGATGTGTGGGTGTGGTGGTTATGGTGGTTGTGGTTGTGGTTGTGATTGTGGTGAGCTGTGGCGGAAGCGGATGATGGTGCTGAGGAGCCTTGAGCGGAGTTTGCTGCTTTTGTTGCGATGGTGCGGGCGCTCTGGGAGATTTGGGCCGAGGAGAGGGTTGAAGTTGTGTTGCCGACTTGCTGGGTGGATTTGTAGGTTGACTGGGCGCGGAAAGCGGCCAGGAAGTTGGCAAGAAATGGACGGTTGTTAGACATGGTGGGACAGATTCACCTGTATAGATGACTTGACTATGTATAGAATAGAAGTTCAGTAGAAGAGAAGTCTGAGAGATCCCGATTTCAAGAGATCCCGATCCCTAGAGGCGCTCCAATCACGGGTGTTGGATTATGGCCATGACGTTACGTAGGAAGTTTCCGGAGTCTTTTTTTATATTTTCCCCATTTTCTCCATTTCTCCATTTCTCCGCTACTCTACATTAAATAATACTAAATATACCTCTTATAAATGAGAAGTACCTTGTGATGTTCTACCGTACCCCAGATTCCCCAGTCAAAATGGATCCATAAGTCTATTTCTAGCGGCTTTTCTAGTAAATCCTAACACAAAAACACCTTAAATCACACCTCATTCCCAAAGCACACATATGTCCTGCCATGCCGACTTTACACGAGAAAAGAGGCCATGCGATGCAGAAAAACGAGAAAGGGAAAGATAAAAGCACATGGTAAAAGAGAAATGGACTGCAATGAAAGAAACGTGGCAATTCGACAACAACCATCCCATAAAAGATAATGTAAAAAAAAAAAGAGCTTTTCTTCTTTCTGATGTCGAACACTCGCGCAAAAGATGAACACATGCCCATGTCTATGTTGTGGACGCCGAACAAACCACCCACCATACCATCTGCCCCTCACATCGGGGGTTCAAGATAAAATGTAACCAGACTCGCAAACCACTTGAGTAAGAATGCACACCCCACACCAGATGGGATTAAAGAAAAAAGAGATAGATCGACAAACGATACTAAAACAAAACCGGAAACGGGGGACGCTAGGAGCACGAAACGCCGTCAAGCTGAAAGCCGGAAGCGAAACGGATCAAAGGACTATCGTAGACGGATTTGCTGAGACATCGTGACCAGTGGATTTGCACCAGCAGAGAAGCTAGGAACGAAGGCCTAGAAACAATAGAAGAGAGGGTGGAGAGCAATAGTCCTACCCACGGCGTGAAGGAAAAAAGAAACCTGTGGTCCCTTGTTTCGTCGAAACGCTTTTTCAATCTCATGCCTCATAGTCGTCATCTTGCTTTCCGATCGAATTCACCGTCTACTGTCTCGCGGGCTGCACGGTACCTGCATATTATTATTAGAACAATCCCATGCCATAATGAACGGGGTGGAGAAAAAAAAAAAGGCAAGAACTAACCGTCTCCGCTCAGCGTAGTCGAAGCAAGGTACAGTCCGTTCATACCGCTCTCGGGACCGGTCGAGGCGGGGTAGAACTTGCGGTCGTGGTCGACGGGGGCGTGGATCGGCTCCTGGCCCGCGGCCATGGAGTGGGGAAAACGGGGTTAATGTAACCGTCGGAAGAACCGTGCTGAAACATCGAATTCCAGTCAACACCCGGGTGATGTGAATGGGGACCGGGCATGACCGGTTTTTGGTCATGATAGACCGGGGGCTTTACCTGTTCAAGGGGACGATCAACCGTCAGCTGCTGGCCATGGGCATCGACACCAGGCTGCATGAGATACGGATTCTGCTTGGGTCCAGCCATCCACGAGGCTCTCGCGTGCGCCTGGCCAGCGGAGAACGCGTCGTCACCGGGACCACGGTTCATGCCGTTGACAGACTGCATCGTGAAGCCTAGCGGCTGCTGCTCCGTGTAGCCAGGACGGCCTGTAGCCATTCCATTGCCATTCACGGCCCCATCGAATTGCGTACCCATAACGCCATTGGAGTGGGGGCGGGATTACTGACTTCATCCTGAAGCGGCTTGGGGGAATTGGCCGCGGCAGCCGCAGCTGCTTGCTGTTGAGACCGCTTCAGATGGGCCTGGGGGTGGGACAAGTGAGTCGCACCGGTCGGATTACCCCGGCGGATTGAGCACTTTTGGAAGTGACGCTTCAAGATATCACTGCGGGAGAAAGTGTCCTTGCAAAGAACACACATGTAGGGGCGATCACCAGTGTCTGTACAAATCAGAGAAAAAAAAACGTCGGTTAGCAAATCTCATGAACTTGGGGAATTTCAATTTTTTTTCCTTGGAGCTGGCTTCAAAAAACTCACGTCTCAACAGATGGCGCTTGAGGTGCTTGGCGTGGAGGTAAGTCTTGTTACAGTGCGGGCAGGGGAATTTGCCGTCCGCGTCCTTAGCAGGGATAGTGGTGCTCTTAGCTGTACCATTGACACCGTTAGAAACCGGAGTCGCGCGGCCTGGGACACTGGGCAAAATGCCACGGCGGCCCTGAGAGCCGACAACCTGCGTCCGTGGTGGTTCCTTGGCGTAAGGGGAGCCGTTCGCGCCATTCACATCAGGAGTCATACCCCAACCCTTGCCATCGGAGTAACTAAAGGCACCGGAAGGAAGACCATTGAAATCCGGACGACGGTCGCGCGGGGGTGCCGGAGCAATCGGCTGGGGGTAGCTCTGAGCGGAGGATGCGGGCGGAAGGACACTCGGAGGTGGGGGGGTACTGCTGATGCGCCTGTGTTTGAGGGTTAGGAAGATTCAACAGAGACGATGGCGGAAGGCTACCGACAGTCGTGTGCGGCATCATAGGGGCCTGGGAAGCCCCGTAGACATCGTGAGTTGACGGAGGGTACCGCGACAAATCCGGACGGTACGGCTGGCCCATGTAGTGGTGAGGCGCGGGCGACTGAGGGTGATGAGGCTGCAACGGAGGCAGAGTATGCGGCTGTGAAACCGGATACTGCGGCTGCATCGAGTATTGTGGCATGTGCATGCTCGAGATTGGAGTTGAAGACATGGGCGTGGAGCCTGGAGGCAGACTGGTGGATGGAGGACGGGAAGGGTGAGATCTGGGATCCATTGTGGACTGAGGAGAGATCGTGTAGGAAAGAAAGATATTCACGGTAACTCAATCATCAAACTCGCACTCTGGATGATTTTTTTTTTTTCTTTGAAGCAAAGGAAGCTCCTTGTTTGAAAATTTTCCTGCGAACGGAGAGGCAAACGGTCACAGGGTCTCACGGGATTCACGGGTTCACACGAGTTGACTCCACACGAATGCGAGAGAGAGAAAGAAAGAGATGCTTAATTGAAGAAGATTCCCCACGGTCACCCACCAGAAGGAAAAATGGGATGGTGGTTTATCCGCACGTTGTCACCGTCGATGGTTCTGTATCCACCGAAGAAGCGGGCGTGCAAGTGGGTCTCTCGCAGCAAAAAACAACTAGTCCGAGATCTGCTTCGCGTCAAAATAATGAGATCGAGGAATTGACACAGAAATAGCCAATAGAAAGGAAATATCTCAAAGAATGAAACGAAGAAGTCTGAAGTGCAGGGAATTGAGGATCGAGAATTGAGAATTGGGAATTTGAGGAAATTGGGGGAGGAGAAGAAGAAAATGGGGGATAAGTTTCTTGGTAAAGACGAAAAGGAAAATTCTAAGGAAGACCGGGTCGAATAAAAAAAAAAAGACAGAAAAGACGAGAAAAGACAAAAAAAGACGATCGTTCCTCGGGGAGGCAAGAGGCGAGAGAAGAAAAAAAAAGGAAAAAAAAAAGACAGGTAATTACAGTATTTTCAGTTCAAAATTACCAAAAATTACACGGTCGTCTTCCGAACTATGGCCGATAGCGGTAGTATAGACGTATTAGGATTGTTGGGATTTATTGGATTTATAGGTTTTTTTAAAGATTAATTCGATCTAGATTTTAGATTTACAAAGAAATATAAAGAATAGCCAAAAAAAAGGAGAACCTAAGTTCTCAGAGACATAAGACACAAAGTAGACACATCGTCAAATCTCAAGTTTCTGATCTTCCTACGCGTCCGGACATGATGACGCACTTGCAAGGTATATCCCACCTAGGCTCCCGTGGACGGATGATAATAAAGCCCCGAAACCATACCTACAGAGTAGTCGAGCAATATATGATGTCTTCCATATAGTTATATCATATGCAATCTGATTATTCACCGGGAATAGATTATGAACGTACCTCTTAAGGCTCACTGCCACATGTTGTACTGCAATCAGGGCCCAATCCTTGGGTGCCTCCGATCGCGGCGATTACCGGACTATTTATTGGGCACAAGTGATCATTCAAACAATCAACTATGTACACACGTAGGTATGCCGTTGGATATCTGATGTTGGAGTAGATCTTATATTTGGAGATGGAGCCATCTCCCCGAGTGTGGATTATGGCTGACCCTGGCTCTTCTTTGTTTTTGGCTCCGCAGTGGCTGACAGCCCCGCAAGTGACATGTACTATATGTATTCCTCTAACTATGGACTATTCTAAATACTCCGTATATATATCTGAATTACTATGGTGTGTACATATGTAGTATACCTAGATACAATACTGCATGCAGATAGATAAGATTTCAGCGAACGTAAGACTCCCACTCTGCACTGATCTCTTCAAGCACGTCATCCGCGGGCCCGAGGGAAGATGAGCTCCATTGAGCTCGGCAGAAGACTCGCCATACATCGTTAACTCTCTCACCCTGCAGGCTGGATTTGGCTCCTGCATGCAGGCCAGATGTACATGGCAATGTCTTCAAAAGAGGGGCATGAGTTCTCAGGCCTCTTTTGGGGAAGACTGGGGTTGTCCGACCAGAAGCTTCTGTAACGGCCATGCAGTGTTGCCCTACATCAGGACTACTTTAGTGGATGCGCCGTAGCCGCCTTCTGTTCCGCAGTGGTTTCCGCACTTAGCTTCATGGGTTGATTCGGAGTGAAACATGGAGTGAACTATGCCATAAAAAGAAAATTAAGCGTATTGGGCTATCAATGGAATAAGTCTAATTGTCTCACTAAGACACTAATACTATTGCTATTTAGGTGCTCAATATATGTACTCCGTAGGGAAATAGAGTAGTATTCCGTACGGAGTACTCCCGTAGAGTGTTTCTCCTAAGTTCAGCCACACAGGAATGCTCTAGACAAAATTGGCATTCAGGGGGGTTCCCCTTATTGGACGTGACTACTTCCGTGGTCTGACATAGGCTGCAGTTCGCGTACTTTTGCAATGCAGATTCCTTCTATTATTCTATTATTAAGCCGAGATCTCGACCAAGTAACATGACCTAAAGTTTCAGATCCTGCGCGCCATTCGAGTCCCGTGTGACTACGGTTTATCATATTGAATCTGAAATTGGACCTCGGGATATACTCTGATATTACTTTTTAGATAAACTCTAGCAAAACTATAAAGTACAAACATACCATTGTAAAATGTACTACGGAGTACTCCATACAACATACGTATATTTGCCGGAGATGATCTGTATTCCGGACCCAACATCCCTGCCCCTCCTTCTCCACCCCTTCGCAAGAGCTTCTCCCGCTTCGATTGTGGACCTGGAAGGCTTCGACCAGGGTTCTGCAGAAATACTGAGACCACCTGATCTCTTGCTATATTATATTGAGATATTATGGCTCATTTTATCATTTATTATTCTAAGATTCCGCCAAGGGGCGAGAATGAATCCAAGCTACGACGTAAAAGGAAGTTCGCTTGACCTTCCACTTTGTTTCACCTCGGTATGTGTACGTGTGTACACGGAATATCGTGGACATTGCCAGCGTGTGCCTATTAATTTACTGGCATATATTGGACTCTGTGCTTTTCTTTTCATGCTGCCCAAAAGGATTACAATTCCGGGAGGGAAATTAGTTCTTGGTGGCTTGACAACTATTAAACGCGGTGTATTGAAGTGGCAGGTGGCTTTCTCTGCTTTTCAAAATAGTTAACACTCGGCATCAATGCCGGGAGTTAACGGACTCCACTCCAGGTCACCGAAACGGTTCGCAAAGTACGGTGAGGCTTTTCCGAGTCTTAAATTTTGAATCCATTCAGGGGCTATCAATTCATTTGTTACTAATTATTTCCTATTTTGTTACTGAGACTTACTGATCGTTCTTATATTAGACTAGTCTGTACAAATGAGCCTAAGATCGTCACTTGAGAGTGTTTTTTCTTTCCATGCTTGGCCGTATTCGAGTCTAATATGGAACAAACCCACTGTGTACCGACAGAGATGGGGCCGCCAGTAGGGCTAAAATGCCCGGATGCTTAAGGTGTTGTTGGCATCATTATAACCGGGATAGGAGAGAATAGCGCGCGCGAGATGTAGATCCCGCCCCAGTCCCCATCGCTGCCGAATATTATATCACGTGGTGTGGTATACGTTCGTCGCATATGCGAAAATCACGGGAGTCGTGATTTTAACAGGAAAATATTGAAATAAAAAATGATGTGGTCGGTATGTTCGACACGCTCTATTCAGCGCACTTCCGATAGCGCTTTCCAACATCCGATACACACAAAAAGGCCAGCTTGTTCTCGGCATAGGCCGGAAACACCGCTGAAGCCAAGTCCGGATCGCCGAGTTTCAGGACTTCATGCAGCCAATCAGGAACCACCACCCGCTTTAGCGGACGAGAGGATCGTGCCGCCACCGACCTCATAGGCTGCCGATATCTGTAGTCGAAACCCGGATGGGAATAGCGGTTTTCTTTTTCCTTTTTTTCACAAGGTCCTCTTGGGGATCTGGCTTGCATTATTTTGTCGGTTATAGGCGGGCGTATTGAGATATCGTATTTGGCAACAGACCCAAGGTTTTGATGTTGACTTTGAAATTGACTTTGGAGTGTCGATGTCAAAAAAGTCCACGGGTCACAGTCCCATTCTCCAATTCTCCATCTTTCTCCATTTTCCCATGTGCTCTGTGGATCGGAATCCATTCTGTACAACATGGGGTTTATAGGGCTCACATTGATCAGGTAGCTCAGGAACAAATTCGCTATTCTATGTTGTATATTCTTCAATGTTCTATATTGTAATTGCCTCACCCTAGCCTTGGAATCAACGTGTACCAGTGACCTTCTCTGCTGGCCGCGTCATGGGTTTCGGATATAATTCGATATCAGGATGGCTACGCATATATGATTTGCCTCCTATATAATATCTGATACTGACCTCGCTACTATCCATGGATATTCTGGTCGTATTCTGGTCAAATAGTAAAAATAAGGGAAGTTCATATTCTGAGCCTTGGATTCTTCGATCCACAGACCATGGTCGGGCCGAACCATCTGTTTGCAGTGTAACATTCAGGAATGCTTGAACCATTTTCTTCGAACTTGCATAAATTAGAGCGCCTAAAATGCAGCCCATCGGACCGAAAGCACTGGTAATAATAAATCCCCTCAAATAATGTCACCCAAGAAAAAGGAAATAATAAAAAAAAATGATCAGTTCGCAATGGGAAAAAGGCAAAACGGGCCCGATATGGAAATTGTAACGTACAATACGGCGGTAGACTCGGCTCACCCCCGACCCAAAAAACAGCCACTTGCGAATTCGCTCTGATGACCTCTTTTAATTTTTCAAGGTCATCCATGGTTCAGACCGCTAGATCTGTCAGAGAACCAAAAAGAGAAACTCCAGACGGTCCACTCAAATTCAGGGACCTCAGAACGTCCATGGAATTCCATGGGAATTTGAGTCCTTCAAACCTTGCGAAATCATTTGGATTCGTCATGACGTAGTGCCGATCTCCGGCTGTTCCTGGGCCCTTCTCTCTCAGCCCCTGACAGTGACGATCGGGACTGCGTGCAATCCGGACGGGAGCGCGGACAAGAGGGGCTGTACTCCGTACTCCGTACAACAAGGGTCATCCTAACACGTTCTTTTTGTAACCTTTCGCATTCTTGTCCCGGTTCTTGTGGTTGGAGGCGCTTTAGGCTTTCTTTTTTTTCCAATTAGATTTCTCCGAGGTTTGACCTTTGAGAAAATGATGTACCAGACTATATGCTCTCAAGGTTAAATATGATAAGTACTGCTTACTATTGAGAACTATAGAAGTCTTTTTTATGTGCGGAAAACTATCTCCGGAAAATGGTAAGGGTAGTATACAAGTGGGACTAGCAGATGGCTCCTCGTGTTGGGGGTGTGGGTTACGCGCCCCCCTCATCTGGAGTCAGATTAAGCATATCTCTGTTCCAACCCTTTTTGTTTGTTTTTCTCCGTTGCATCCATGTTCAGTGTCCACCACCGCCGGTGGGGTCTCAGGGGTGGTGGAGCTTACAGGATTATTCCCGGGGATCAAGGCACGTTGTACAAAGTACCTACCCGTGGGGTGGAAGTGATTGCTTGGTTTCCGTACTTGGGGACTGAGTCGGGTTTTAAATAACAGGTTTGGTGTCTGGCTTTCTCTCGGGCTCTAGGCATTGATTGGTTTGTCCGGTGCTCTCTTAGAAGGGCAAGTAGTATATATTCTCCCTTTGCGTGGAGGTACCATGTACAAAGTGCAAGAGACGATCAGCAATTTACATTGTTCTTCTGCAGTGTATGTATCCTTTGCATAATAGTCTCTTGCTTTTTCTTTGAATACGAATGACCATAATATTATCTACAATATACAGTGGAATATGACGTGTTCTTGAGGTCTATATCCTCCTTGAATAACCCTAATGCATTTGTATATATATGCAAGAATGCCAATTATTCTGCCTCCCTTTGATAGAATACGTAGATGATAAAGAATCCGGAATCGTTTTCATCCCCAGTAGAATGCCATACAGCTCTCATACAGTCAACTTTATCTCAGCCATATGGAACTGGTGGAGTAGCCCCATTTTCTCCGTCATATCACATAGCCTAAATCAGGCCAGGAGGGGCACTGGGTCAGTCTCCATGTGACACTGTCAGATCGGTCCATATTATGGAGCCACATCTATGTTTTCTAACAGGCAGGTGGCGAATGCTTACATTCTTGTCGGTGGGTTCATCTGGGGCTATCACTACTTTTTACAGATAGAAGTCTCTGCATGAAGGTGGGGATATTTTCATCTTACATATGTTGAATTGAGCGTGTTGAGGCTCTTTGGTCGATACTATCCATCTTCTCTTACCCTAGTAGAAGATTGGAGGTATCAAACTAAGATTCACAAAAGGAATACTTTAAGAGGTGGCTATGATCTGTTATATGATATTAAGTCACATAGTACGAACGTAAACATCAAATCCTAAATCGCAGACTAATACCGTGACTTCTCCACGAGCTCGTGACACCTAGATAGGATTATCTGGATCATCCGCCTTGGACAAAGCAGTTGCATCGGGTTCCCGAACCTCAGGCTCAATGCCCTCACTAACGACCGGCTCACGCTCAATCCCATGAATAGCATGGTCGACATTGACCACAGGACCTTTGAACCAGCGATGGGCATCAACAACCCACCAAATCGTAACCGCCAGCATCGGCGCACCCCAAACAAGGCAAGTCCAATTCATCAGATCAGGCGTCAAGTTTTTACCAGTAACACTAGGCAAACACAAAATCGGGACCATGAAAAACACAAACACAACACCAGCGGCACCGATATACGGGCCAAAGGGACCCAGATGCCAGGGGCCCCTGCGGAACCGATCACCAACAAAGAACACCCGAATAGTGATAGGAACGGCGAAAGCAAAAAACTGCGCAATGGCACCAATAGAGAACAAAGCGCCAATCGCCACGTCCCCAGCCAGAATAAGAAGACACATCAAGATGCCGAGGACGGCATTCAGCACAACCGCATTAACCGGCGTCTGCGTATACGGATGCACCTGCTTCCAGTAATTCGAGAACGGAAAGCAGTCGTCACGAGCATAGGCATACGTAACCCGCGATGCAGCAACCATACACCCCTGACCCATAGAAAACCCACAGACAATCGTCAAAGCCAAGATAGCCATAGCCGTCTTCTGCGGCATGACCTGCAGCAAATAGGACGCCCAGGGCTGTCCCAGATCGGAGTCAAGAACGGCCTCGATATCCAGCACCGTGTATGCAACAACCAGCTGTAGGAACCAGCCCATCAACCCACCCACCCCGGAGGTGAGCACGATTGCGCGCGGCGAGGCAATGTTCGCGTTCGAGCACTCCTCGCTCAAATGGAATGGCGAGTCGTAGCCGGACATTGTCCAGATCACGCCGACGAAGGTCATGAGTACGGCGACGCCGTCTGGGAAGTCGGTTAGGTTTGTTATCTCCCCCAGACTTGTTTGGACGGGGTGAATTTTGGGCTGTTTTTCGTGTTAGCGGGGATCATGATGAGGACTGCGATTAGCGCGATGAAGTTGAATGTTGAGCCCCATGAGTTGAACTGTGCTACTCGCTTCGTGGGCATGCTGCTGATTCCAGCGTGTAGGATCATTATGAGGGTCGTCAGCAGGAAGGTCTGCCATGTTGTCGGTACGTAGTCCGGGTTGTAGATTGAGACTGCTGCGAGGATCATTGCGCTGAGCGAGTAGTCGACTGATGGAGCTGCGGTTATCTGTCCGATCCAGTTGGACCAGCCGGTGATCCAGGCGGCAAAGGGCCCGTACCTGGGGGTGCGAGCACTGCTGCGGCGTAGTATAGTCCGCCGCTGTATAACACATTAGCCTTCTTCTCTAAACACCAACTTCTCGGGTGTGACATCGGGCAGTGTATCATACCTAGTCGGCATTGCTGAACATAGCTCTGCCATCGACATTGCAATGCACTGGATAAATATCATAGCAATGATCCAGCCCCAGACCATACCCGCTGTTCCGGCATATCCCATTCCTTTAATCCAATCAATATCGGCTATACTCTATATCAAATCGAATAATCACGGATCTGTGAGTACTCACCATACCATAGGGTACTTGCAAACGACGGTAGCAACCCCAAAACAGCAAAGCTGACGCAGAAAGTCGTCCATAGCGAGAACTCACGCTTGAACTCTTGCTTGTAACCCAGCGCCGTGATCACTCTCTCATCGTCATCCATATAATGATCCGTATAGGGCACATCGCCATCCGGGAGAACGGAAGTGACTTGGGTATTTCTAGCCTCACGATATCCTTTGGACATGTCCGAAACAGCAGGTTTGGTCTCCACGTTTGCGCCCATGGCCGAGATGAACAGGTATGCCGCTACTAATGTATGCGGTATATATATCAACGAAATGAAATGACAACCATGCAAGGGGTGAACAAAATGTCTTCGTATTCAAGCAACAGCCAAGGGGAAATGAAGCAGAATAAAAGAGCATCAGATTATGGTTTATAAAACAAAACAACAGGGGGTAGCCATGTTATCTATGCATAGCACGAGACAATTTGCCTTTTGCCCCGCGCATTGGCGAACTCAATAACCAAATAGATATGTCTAAACGAGCAGGAATAGAGCCAGTCCGAACTGGAAGTAACAGATATTGGACCCGACACCATTGTGCAACGAAGACCGGTGGACAAGTGAGGGGGAAACGCCTCGTGGAAGCAGGGTCTCTCCGCAATGTGCTGCTCCTTACAAAGAGGCGCGATAAGAGCAAATGACCACGGATGTTGGTAAATTAAAAAGATATATTGGACTGCATAATAACCAGATATCTTATTTGAGCACGCGGATGGCCTTACGCAAGCTTGTGATTTGTAGGGAAGGGTGGTACCACCGCTCATTTGGTGCACAGGGCTTCGACGATCGGTGCTATAAGCTTGGTAGATAGAGCTCTAGTCCCAGCAGGGAAACTCCAGGCGTTATCCTTCACGGGACTTCTGCGAGAGGGCGTTAGCGCGGTACTTGTAGCTGTGGTTATCACCGTGATAACAGAGATAAGGGCTTGACTCGGGCGTCCACGGGTGTCGTTCGTGTTCATTAGCTACATATGTATGTATCAGGCTTTCTGAAACTTGCCAGGACTTCTTTTGTCCTTTGAGGCTTGTTATCGAAGGATGGACTTGCCTCGTTGGGAAAAGAAGCTGTGGATTGAATGCTGGAGAACCCAGTTCGTTGTATATATATGTCATTAAATCTAGTCCAGGACGACAGAGCTATCTACGTGATACCCCTTGGTAGCTCGAAAACCAACCCATGGAATATTCGAACCTCCAAGGTGTATAAGAGTCTCAGAGTTTCTAAGAGCTCTAGGTTGTCCAGCCCGACGATCTAAGGGAAGGTCGTATCCGTGGATATCGATAGTGTAGAACCAAGCATACGGACCATGAAATACATATTTACTTGGAAACAACTGTTTCTATGTGGTATTAAAAACAGAAAAGACTTTCATCGCTATTCTACACAGTACAGCCCCAGCCTGCCTCCCGAAAGCTCTGATTCATATCGACCAAAGGGGAGACAGGTATATACCATCGCGAATAATTTAGAAGGGCTAGAAGAAAGTCAGCATCGAATCCAAAGCCCCAAATCAACTGTAATTGACTCACGTTGTCCTCAGGGGCGATGCTACGGTCGTAGTAGGTATCGAGGAAAGGAAGCTTGCGGAGGATGTCGTTGCGCACACGGGGAACCTCGCCGAAGAGGAAGAGGGCACCGGAGCCAACGGCGACACCGAAGCCAGCAGCGAGGGAACCACTGTTTAGAGTGTCATTAGTCACTGCGTCTTGTCCAACCTAGGAGAGGGGAATGCGGGATGTACTCACAGCTGGACGGCTGTGCCAAGGGTCATACCGGCGGCGGTGCGGGGGATGTAGTACCTGAAGATTAGTGAGAGGTTAGCTTGGTATTCTTGTTGTTTGATTGATCTGCCCTCTTCGATATCGAGCTCTTTTGCCAAAGCCCACGGCCTTGTAATCCCCGCTCCCCCACAGATGCCAGACACCCATCAAGCTCCGCTGCGCGAGAGGAAGTGGGCATCCGATCAACTAAGAAATTTTCGTTGGCGAGCGCAATGTATGTTTCATTCGCTCCATCCGATATGCTTATCACCGGCAAACATGTACTGTCCGGGATTCGAGGGAAAGGATATGGGGGAGTCTCACTTGGGCGCATAGGCGGAGGCCTGGGCCGCGGCGCGGCGAGCAGTAGGGGCGAACTATGGGATATGTGTTAGCAATTGATGCAACATCGTCTATCTCGTCTCATTCCGGAGCTCGGAAGCCGGTTGTGATACTCATGGCCCGACTGTCCTCTACCCGGAGTGCGCGGCCGAGTAGGTAAGAGACCTCAGAAGATAGTACAAAGTTCTCTCATCTTCTGGGCATAGAATCACTTACCATCTTGAGTGACACCGAAGTGATTTGGTGGGACAATTGCTAGGAGACAGGAGCTGGCACTCGGTGGTCGACAAAAACCGGGAGTGCCCGAGTTAGCACGTGACTTCAAAGCCAGTGGCCAATCAGAGGAGGTGTAATTGTTTTCGTTCAATCTTCGAAGTATGAGTTTCTATAGATCAAGTCAACGAATAGTTTTATTTGGGAGAGTAACCTGCTCACTTTTCGCTAAACTAAAACAACACAGCTGGAAAATCGCATCGAAGAAAAGCCTAAAATGGAAGAGGCAAATGAGGTAACTATAACTACTTGTCGACCAGAGAAACTAAGAGATATCAATACGTTTATTGACTTGAAAATAGGATGCTTTTTGCGGCTCCGGAGAAGCTGATACGCCTAGACTCCAAAAGTTCATGTGATGGCTGAAAAGAAATGGAATAAGAAGATATGTGCTTCAAAAAACCCCTTGGTCTGACATGCAAGAAATTCAACTGAGACAGAATTGATCGAAGAGACGCGCAAAAGGAAAGCAACATCAACCAGATACAGTGGAAACAAAGAGATTATAAGAACCACGTAGCCAAACACCCTAACTGTACATTTGTCTCATTAGTCGACTTTGTCGGTCGAGCCTCCATTGAGGAAACCCTCCTTGCCGTCCAGGTGGAAGAAGCCACCGTTGTTGTTGGTGTTGCCAATGATGCCGCCGCGCGCAGCACCACGTCTAAGGCGTCCACGCCCGAAAATGGTGGCCACAGCAACAACAGCACCCAAGATAATGAAGAAGAGAATAGGGTGACTGCCGAGGAGAGACCGAGTGAAGAATAAGATAGTCTCAAAGGTGCCGATGGTAGATTTGGGTGACAATTTCGAAGGGGAAGCGACGACGAGAGGAATGGTCTCGAGAATGGAGGTCCGCGAGGCCATAATAGGAGCTCCACTTGAAGCAGTATCCCAGTAGCGGCGGTTCTATAGGAGGTCAGTTATAGGGCTCCAGCAATCTCGTGGGGAAGACTTACATCTTGATCATTGATAATAACGCGGTCACTGTTTTCCACATCGATGCCGTAAGTTGTGCGCAGCCAGCGCTCCCAGAAGTCGCCATCGACCCAGGCGAATGCGACTTGCTTCTTGTCGTCCTCGCGGATCGTAATACGCATGTTCTTCGCAGCCCGCAGTGCACGCTGATCATTGCGGTCATCGGCTTCTTCGATACGTAGTTGCTTAGAATCACGAAGTTCAGCCCGCTCAAGACGGAACAATTGGACCTGCTTGTCCATCCATTCAAGGGCGGCTTCCTTCAGCTCGCGCTTAGATTGCTTGAAGTCATCGCTACGCCGGCGGCTGAGGAGTCCCAGAACGACGAACTTTCCATTCATGATTTCTTGCGCATTGGATGCGGTGAGCTCAGGTACGATGGGCAGCCACACAGTTTGCATCCACGAGAGAATCTGACGGAAATCTCTCATGTCCTTAGGAGCAAGGGCATTGTAATAGTTGGGACGTCCGTCACGGACGACCAGGAGACGCGGCCAGGTGGAGATCTTGAACCGCTCGGAAAGAGCAGCACTGTCGGACTTGACAATGCGAGCGTGTCCCACAAGACTGAGGGTGAGGCGGTTCATAGCCTCAAAATCTTCAGATGTAGTCGCGTGGTCGTAGAGATACAAGAACAAAACCTCTTCGGTTTCTTCCAACTGCTTAAAAGTAGTCGCGTCAACATCCTGAATGCTCGAGCCCACACCGACGGCTTTGTTGGTGTACGCGATCAGATCTCCCAAGCCACGAAGACCGGTATATTCAACTCTCTCGCCACCACGGAAGAAGTAGATCGTTGGGTAGGCATTCACGCGAGCATCTTCACACAGTCGCTTCTCAAGATCGCAGTTCACTTCGCCAACATTGAGAGTATCCTTCATTTCCTTGGCCATCGAGTTCCAGTTCGGGGCCAGAGCCTGGCAATGATGGCACCAAGGGACGTAAAACTTAATGATCCAGGGATCATGTGTAGTCGTTACGAGACTTTGGAAGCTTTCAGCAGTGAGTGGGATGGAAACACCCTGGGGATTAGCAGGCCGTCCTTGAAGCTTGGCCTTGACAGATTCAGGGCTAACGCCTTCCAATTCTGCGGTCTCGATGCTCTGCTTCTCGACAGCTGTTTTCGCGCCAGGCTTTACCACTTCAGGTTTGGCAGTCATTTCCATGCTCTTAGCGCCGGCCTTTGGGATTTGGACGCCTTGCGAAGGTCGGGACCCAGGCTTGATCGTCTCGAGCTTGGTTTCAATCATAGCGGCAATCTCTGACATCGTCTTGGCACCAACAGGGCGTCCGTTCTGAACGCCCATATCATAGAATGCCCACGCGGGGAAAAATTCGACGTTCAACTTCGTGCAGAAATCGCCGAAGGCCAGGCAGTTTATGGACCCGAAGTGGAGATTATAGTAGCCGGTAAACGAGTCCAGAGAGGCGAGCTCCCCGGGCTTCAGTCCGGAGAGGAATAATGGATTTGAGGTCTACCAATAATCAGATTCAAGCCTCAAAGGTTCAGAAGAATGGGATATATACTCACGTAGTAGTACTCATACAGGGTCTGGTACATCGGAGCGGCCGTGCGGCAATGCGGACAGGTGGGGGAATAATGTTTAATCATCCTAGAATAGTTAGAGCCTTGAGCGGTTTATTGATTGCTGCTGAAGGGGTTCTCACCAGTAACCATCTTTGGTCACTTCCTCGAAATTCTCGGGGGGTCAGCTGCGTCAACGGGGGCACTTTAATATCATTGAATGTTGTGGGGGTGTCGGGATCCACTCCACGACCTCCCCTCTTGACAAGCGCATCTCCAGATTCTTGGTCGGAGGAGGCATCCGAAGGCGTGCCCAAAGCAGGCGCTACCAACAGTGA